ATTCAAAATCCATCACATTCCTAATTTTATTTAGTTGTTTCCTGGAAGGAATAATAAGTTGTGAAAACCAAACACCCTTAAATCAGCACAGCTATTTAGAAATAAGAGGTGCTGCCCCTTTTCCAAGCTCTTTGCCTGTGTTTGTTATCACTTCAAATGGAACTGGATGTTTTTGGGAAATGCTGTCACACAAAGTTACATGCAAATAGTTGACCTGACTATTTCCCAATACTACTGTCACACTCTGAAGTAATTTGGGGAAAAGTGATTCAAAGAAACTCTTATTTTTTAAATGTAATGTTTTCCCCTTCATGTGTTTTAAGTCATGTTTCACAAGGAACTCAGGACACCAAAGTGCAGCCAACTGGCTCTCAAGTCTGCAGTAAAGGAGCTGAAAACACACACTCACGTGGAGGTTAGGACCACAGAAGGACAGCGAGGCGTCTTTACAGTGGAGAGCCTCAGGAATCAGTTAGCACAGAACCTTCTGCAGTGTGTTAAGAGAACTCTTATGAAAAGAAAACCCACATTTGCCATCGGAACCAAGTAGCTGCTGAAGCAGCAAGCAAGGCCTCAAGCAGTGGTACCAGTGGAGCAGCCTGAAATGTCAGGACTGACCGAACGTTCCTCCCAGAGAGCAACTCCCTCCCACCCAGGAGGAAAGGCCTGCTGCAAGGACATTGCCAGGGAAAAACAAATGGCTTCAGACATTTTTTCCTATATTGCACTTTCCAGGAATTATGTAACACTCCTCTTTAGATAAACAAACCCATCCTGTCAGGTTGGGTTTTCAATAGGAATCCAGGATTGAAACCACAACCTGGATCTGGACAAGGTCTATCCAGGATCATTAGACAACAGGTGGAGAGGACCCTGAGGACAGAAGGCCTGAGGGTACTTCAAAAGGAGATCTTGCTTTATGTTTTTTATGGAAACCATGGAGCCCAAGGTCCTCCTGTTCTTCCCCTCTGATTTGTATGTGTCGGGGTCATTCTGCTGCATATGAGAACTGCAGTCTACCTGGGACAGGAACACAGCCAAGCGGGCTTGCTCACAGCCAGAGTAGGAAGGCCAAGCTAGAGAGTGGAGACCTCTGGAAGCTCTGGGAAGCCCCCGCCAGGGAGAACAGCTGAGATGAGGTGATCCAGGACAGGCAGGGCTGTATCTGTTCAGACTCTCTGAGTGGCAAGGGCCCCAAGGCTGGCACAGGCTGACCAATGCTTTGTGGTAAACAACAGAGAGCATCACAAGAAAGGGCAGAGTGCATTCATCCAGTTTATACGGTGCCTAGCAAAGGTCTCCCACAAGTCACAGATGGCAGAGGACACACAGGTGGCAGCTGCAAGGGAGGGGTAGGAAAACAGTGACCGGAACAGTGGTAATAGGAAGTCAAGAGAGGGCAATGTCCAGAATTTAGGGCTTACAGCCAGCCCATCTGGGCCTAAACCTGGCTCTGCCACTTTCTGGTTATGTGATCCCAGGCAGCTTCTCAGTGCCTGCGCTATCGTGAGCATTCAATGAGATCAGGCATTCAGATGCCTCACAAAGTGCTAGATGCAGAGGGCAGACAACACACAGCAGCTCTTTAGCCATGCTGGAGCACCTCCAACTACTTAAGCCAGAGGATGGAAGCTGGGCATGGTGACACATACCTATAATCCAGCACTCAGGAAACACAGGAAGGAGGATAGTGAGTTCAGTACCAGCCTGAGCTACATAGCAAGCTCAAGGCCCTGTCTCAAAAAAATAAGATAAACAATAGCTACTCTCGGCCTAATGCCACCAACCTCATCTCCCATTTGACAGCAGCCCACAAGTGGACTTGGGAGCAGGCACACATCAACATGCTCTTCCTCTCTGGACCCAAGATGTTGGCCTGCCAGCCACCAAGTAGAAAGGCAAGGAGTCTATGTCCAGTGGAAGGTGAGAACGAGGAAAGGATGAGACAGCACAGAATGAAATTCGATTCAATAACACAGAGCAAGATTTAACACAGGTGAGAGCGCATGCCTATGACAAGGTGAGATCTTGCAAGGCTCAAGCCTAAGTCACAGCAACTGAAAATATTAAAATCTAAAATACAGTGGAAGGGTCACGCAATAAATGCAAATGAAAAATAAAACAGATGTCCCACAATTTATAACAAAGAAGTAAAAGCAAGTAACAAGTGGAAGCAAGGTCATTTGCATGTGGCATTTTACAGTGAATCTACAAGTGTAATAAACATCTGTGTACCAAACACACAAGGCAGCAGCACTAGAAATGCTAGGTGATGCTAACATGTATTTCTGTGCTTGACAGACCAAATTGTCAAAAATTAATGATTTGAATGTCATAGTGCAATTTTAGAGACTACACCTTCTTTCCCAACACCCATGAAACTTGCATAAAAACTGATAATATATTAAGCTACGAGAAAAATCTCATATTTAGAAGATTCTAGAAAGCATTTTGTCACATAATTCTAAACCAATGTAAGACCATTAAAGAAAAACTATTTTTTAAAAAACCTATCCATTCATAGCAGTGTGAGTTGTAATGGCCCCAAATTGAAGACCACTCAAATGTCCACTGAATGAATGAACAAATAAAATGCAGCATATTTATACCAATGGAAAGTCACTTGGTGACAAGATGGAATGGAGGACTGATCAGAATCCAGCACAGAGGAGTTTTGAAAACATGCTAGCAGAAGGGAAGCCAGTCACAAAAGACAACAAGTCACGTGGTACAACGTACATGAAATTTCTAGAACACGCAAATCTATGAAGACAAAAAGTAGATTAGTGGTCTTAGGGCTGGGAGTTGGGGTTGGGGCTAGAAGGAAATGGGAGTGACTACTAATGAGTTGGGAGCTTCTTTCTAGAGTGATAAAAATGTTTTTAAATTGACTCTGGTGATGGCTGCACAACCCTGTGAATATACTAAAAATGTTGAATTGTTGGATTACTTATTAATTATGTTTACAATAAATCTGTTAGGAAAAAAATCTCAAGTCCTCAAAAACTTTTTTAAAACCACGGAGCAAAACTTGAATAAAAGAAAAACTGAAACTGCAATTACAGAATATTTGAAGACTATCACTGAGAACATTATATATCAAAATATGTAGGATGCAACAAAAGCTACAATTAGAGGAAAATTAATAACCCTGTTTTTCATATTAACATGAAAAGAACTATATACATATATATAGTCCATATTTCATCAGACTTAAATGTCATCTATTACTAGGTATAACTTTCATATATAACTAAGAAAAATTGCTGCCAATTAAACAATGCTACAATGCTTTATCATCAATTGAAAGATAAATCCTAATTTCAGAGGTGCTAAAATATGGAGAGAAGAGCAGGGTATGGTGGTGCGTGGCTATAATCTCAACTATTCAGAAGGTGGGGATCAGAAGGATCATGGTTTAAGGCAAGCCCAAGCAAATAGTGAAACCCCATCTCAACAAACAAGTCAGGCATGATGGTATACATCTGTATCCCAGCTATGCAGGAGATGCAGGTAGGAGAATCGCAGTCCCAGTCCAGCTCTGGGCAAAAATTGAAGACCATATCTGGAAAAACAACTAAAACAAAAAAGGGATGGGAGATGTGTTTTAAGTGTGGAGCACCTGCCTAGCAAGCATGAGGCCCTGAGTTCAAATCTTAGTACTGCCAAAAAAAATGTGGAGAGGAAAGCACATCTTACATGACCTATCAATAAATAAACCTTTTTGGAAGGCCAATGAACAATTAAAAAAAAAAAAAAGAAAGGAAAAGCAAAAATATAATCTCTTAGGAACACAAATGAAATTTTAACCATAGAGAGAGAGGCTCAAACACAAAACAACATTACAAAGTACACAATGACCAAAGAAATTATATGTGGAAAACATTTGGATCAAACAGTTCCCTGCTGAAAAATAAAATTCCCAAGCTGGCTTTAAAGTGATCAGGAAATCTAAATAAAGAATGCTCACGGAAGAAGTTTTAAAAGTTGTCAAAAATGTATCTCAAAAAAAATTGTACCAGACCTTTGCAAGTATCAGTAGTTACTTCTATAAAACCTTACTTTACTTTATCATGAAAACTGTTTTAGATCAAAAAGAGGATAAAAAAACCTTTTTTCTAAAATGAGCAACAAGAAGCATTTTGTACTTATCAAATTGGCAAAGATAAAAATAAAGAAATAAAAAATAAAAAAAGCAAATGCCCAACATTTGTGTGTGGGCATCTCCTGCTGACAAGCGTGTAGGTTGACACGACCTACCTGAGGAGCACCATGAGCACACACACAAAGAGGCAGGTGCACGTCTGTGCATATGTTCTGACCCAGACCCACCTTTCTGGAATTTACCGCAAAGTAACAATAAGAGTAAAGAGAGTGTTGTCAATAAGATGCTCATTGCAAAAATGAAGAACCAATTTAAACAGTCAATGTTAAAGAGCAGAATCAAGCTGGACAAATCCATTTGATGGGACCGAGCCACAGCACAGAAATGTAGATAATAACATGAGGTGTTCACAATAGAGCAAACGTATATGTTTTATATATGCCCAAATGAATAAGAAATAATATTAACTTCTCGTCGTAATTCTTTACAATGAGTATGCAATATTTTCTAACCAGAAAAAGTAATAATTGCTATTAAAGTTTTATTTGTACAACAGTGCTCAGAGAAACAGAACACAGGGTGGTTTGTGCCTGGGTTCCCCAGTTTGGGGGAAGACCATCATGGGGACCCCCCTGAGCTACAGCCTGGGGTGGAATGGGGGGCTGGGGTTCTCAGATCACGTGTGTAAGAGGCAAAGCATCCCTGGTTTCTGCCCCTCATCAATATTCCCATCCTGGGAAGTATCAGCAGTTTGTTCCAACCCAAGGAGCCAACCATTGCCTCTTTATCGATGATCCCTGCTGCTTCCTGGAAATTTCTCAACTAGAAACTATAAAAACATCTTATTTGGCACTTAGCATGTTGCTCAAAAAATTAAGGCAATTCAGATTCCTACCTAGATAGGGAATGCTGGGCGCCATCTTAAGGCTTCGGATATACTCCCGCGTTCGCTTATAATTATCTTCCTTGGACATCAGGTAGTCCAGTTTCTCAAAGGTGGTCTTGTCTTTTCGATTCAAAAGCTGGAATGAGAAGAAATTACAGAATATGAGAGAGAAAAGAAATAAACTAGAGGAGTTAAACGGAGAGGAGAGCGGTGAACAAAGAATGAAAGGAAGCATCTGAAATGGTGAGATGGGAGAGAGACCGGAGGTTTCATGGCCTCTATCTTGTCATTTTCACAGAACCTCATGTAGAAGAGAGCCCCCAACACTACCTAGCTTGATGTTCTGCATGATGCACTGATGTTTATGGGGCTCAGAGAGTGATGCCAATTGCTCAGGGTGACATGAAGAGCTATTTCACAGCAGTAAGAGGTCTCTTTCCCAGAGTCCACAGCTACTGGCCCTCCCCTCAACATCTCCAGGGCAGAAGGCTCCAGGACCTTTCACACAACTCATACGGGCACTGCCACATGGACACATCCAGGACAAAACTCCAACCTAGGCTGTCTCCTCCAGATTCCCCAGCATCTGCCTGTGTCGTAACTCACTAGGCCTGGTGCTGCAATGAACAAAGGCAGTCTTCTTTTCCTTAAGCAGTCATCTTAAGTAACTCAGTGACCTAATTAAGCAACTCAGGGTGAGCAGGTACCCACAGCCTGAGATGAGAAAAGCAAGCTCCTTGGTGACTGAGCTCTCCAGTGTGTGAAGCTAGTGACCTGGGAGAGGGTGGCTCAGTGTACACACTGGGAAGGCAGGAGTAGAAACCAGAACCCCTGGTGTTCGAGACTTCATGCTTAGTTGTGGTTGTCCTGGATGTCCCCAAGTCAAGGCACACTGCTGGGAAATGACAACAAATCTCCTCAAATACAATGGCTTTAAGGAAAGGAGTCTGGGCTGGGAGGTCAGGCTTGAAAAGAGGGGCAGGAGTAGGTCCACCAGGGAGAGCTGGCTTTGGTACACCATGTAGCTGATGCTGGGAGCTCCCCAAGTCTAGCTGCCAGGGCCCAGTGCTCCTGGAATTGGAGATTATATGGCTAAACCTGGGAGCGTAAATGTAATGAAACCCAGACCTGGAGCCTCCCTGGCCATGGGTGGTCTTGAGATCCTAGTGGCCTGTGCAGGACCCAGACCAACAGACTGGCCACATATATCATGCTGTGTTCAACAGCACCACCATGCACCAAAGAAAAGTGGGAAAATGACTGCCCAGTAGTGAATCTCCTGGGACCTGGGTCTGCAAATCCCAAACTCAGGCCACATCTGGTACACAAGGGTGTCAGGCTGCTTTGGGCAGACCCTGCCCGATTCCTGTACCCTCATTCTTTGGAGCCAGAGGATGCAGCCCTGAGACAATCCACTGTACATGAGCAGTGACAGCTGATGGATTTCAGAAAAGAGAGGCAGAAGAATAAGCTGAAAGAAAGGTTCCAGTGCTGAAGAAGTTAGAGAATGAAAAGCAAGCTTTTCTTCTCCCATGAAGAAATTCAGGACATATCAGTACGAGGATATTACACAGATGCTATGAGCAGCAGATGCTTAACTGGTTTGCTAATCTGAGGCTGTTATTCATTACAGTAACAAATGGACAGAAAATAACACCATCTTTCATTAGCTATTTGTAAAGCACTGTCTATACAACCCATCTGATCTTTATTCATATGTGCATACAATGCTTGGGTCATTTCTCCCCCCTGCCCCCACCCCCTTCCTTACCACTCACTCCGCCTCCTCCCTCTCCCCCCCCACCCCCTCGATACCCGGCAGAAACTAGTTTGCTCTTATCTCTAATTTTGCTGAAGAGAGAGTATAAGCAATAATAGGAAGGAACAAGTGTTTTTGCTAGTTGAGATAAGGATAGCTATACAGGGAGTTGACTCACATTAATTTCCTGTGCATGTACAACCCATCTGATCTTTACAAAGCCCAGAGGCAAAAGAAGCCAAGACTGTTGCCTCTACTTCAGGTTCATAATCACAAGGATTAGGTGACCTGTTGAATACCCTTGGAAACCTGACTCAATAGAGAAGCAAGGCAGATTTCATCACAACATGGTGAGTGAGTAAATATAGACAGAGCATCCACAGAAACAATAAATTGTCAGCAAGAGAAGTGCCAAGAAGAGCTAGAGAGGTGGCATTTGAAATAAACACTTGAGGATAAGAAACTCATCAATGAACAAAATGTTCCCAGAGCAGAACCACCAACCTCATGTGAACTGTGAAGTCCAGCAGGTCCCTCACCTCCCTTGTTCAGGAAATCATTTTTTAAAATTAGTGCAACCAATAGCCTCACTGACTCCTTTGGCAATCATCCATATTCAGCCAGTAGCCAAACAAATCTCGATCTTGTTCTTACATACAGCACGCAGCTGAGCCTTGCTGGTGTCCAATGCACACACCACTGTCCTTTGATCCCAGTTGGGTCACTGCCCATGTCATGTACCCTTCCATGTTCAGTTTACCTACCAACCTGTCTAGTACCTGTATGGATAGCACCTCAGATGTGATCAGCATGTCATCTGTGCCCTCCCATTCTCCTACACACACACACCAGCTGGATCTGGTTAACCTCACTCATCTGTTCCATCCTGTATTTATGAATGAAATTCAAGACAGCATGAGATTTCTCAAGAACAATGCATAGGTTGCTAGAAGACATGAAGGAAACTCAGAGTGTCTATTTCCCATGATGCATTTGAAAACTGCCTGAGCAAAATGAAAGGAAAAATCAGGAAGAGAAAGACATGAGCACAGAAGTCAGTGGACCCAATCCAGGGGTGCTGAAAGAGATTCTGGGGGGCCCAGTAGGCAGCAGGCATTAAGACCAGCCCTGGAAGTGTGTCTCTAGTTAAAAGAAACTCAACAGAAGACTCCATCTGATGGCACACTTCTGGTATGGGGGGAGGTATATATAATAATAAAACAAAAATAATTTAAAACCCTGTGTGTGTGTATGTGCGTGTGTGTGTCTGTGTGTCTGGTAAATAGAAGGTCAATAGGGTAAGAATTTTTTTGGTGGTTCTGGGGATGGGATCCAGGACCTGGTATGTGCTAGGCAAGCACTCTACTGTTGAACCACATCCCCAGCAGCTCAAGAAGAGCTTTTTAAAAGGAAATTAGAATATCTAGGGAAATGAAAAGCTATTTAAGGTTGTGTTATTCATAGTTTATTATTTGTCTACAGAGTGAAGCATATTTCCTAACTATTAAGACACTTACTACTCATATAACAAAAGTGATTTAACTAGAGTGATGTATTTTCCAAGAGGGAGAAACTGCTGGGTACATGGAGGCATTGCCTGGGTGAGGGGCAGTGTGGGAGAGAGTAGAAAATGTCAGTTGTTTTACTAGGCTTAGTGATTTTTAAAATTAATGTGCATATGTTATACTAACAAAAATCCCTTTAAGATGTTAGGTTTCTTAATGTAGGGTTTGTTTACTCAGAAAACAACAGCATTTACTTACATATGTTTTAAACTTTTATTACAAGTAGAACTACAAACTGCAAACCTCAGATGAACTGAGAGTCCTTTAGATTTTAGAGTTTATGGGAAGCCTTGGGAAGAAACCATTGGAACTACATGTAAGAAAATAAACGACTTGCTTACCAGGAGCCAAACAGATCCTAAAACCATTCAAGATAGGGAAAAGAAGTAAGGAAGTGAGATTAAGAAAAAGTTTACTACCTTAACAGGCAACATCCCTGCAGCAAAGTTCAGAAGCCTTGGGCCCCCTGAGGTCTCCTCCTAACATTTATTACTGTATTAATTCACTATAAGGTTACATTTGTTTCTCACTCAGCCAACACAAACCCCATGAGGACAGTGACCATGCTGGCTCATGCTCACTCTACTGCCCCCTGTATCTGGTGTGGTTTTCCACACAGAAGAAACACTACTGAAATATTTGTTGCATAAAAGAGTGATGAGAAAGATAATGATAACAAAGAAATCCAATTCCTCAGAAATTATTGAATATTACAATAATTCTTAGGTAAAAGAGGTAATAAAAGCCACGATTATGGACTACTGACAGACCACAGACAATAAGAACACTGTAGGTTAAACTATATGATAAAGCCAAAACTATATTGGGAGAAAAGTTCATGATTTTAAACTCACTTATAATTAAGCAAGGAAGAACCAATATAAATAAATTAAACATTCAACTTAAGAGACTAGAAAAATAGATGAAATAGGAAAAACAGGTTAATTGATAAAATTTTAAACTGAAATGTTATGGAAACAATCACCAACCCCAAGAGCTTATTTTATAACATATCAACAAGGGCTGGCAGAGTGGCTCAAATGGTTAGAGGCCTGCCTAGCAAGTGTGAGGCCCTGACTTCAAACCCCATTGCCACCAAAATAAATAAATAAATAAAATACAAACAAAACAGGTAAAAACCTATGCAAAAATGGCAGGAACGTCCTTATCTCTAATTTTGTTGTAGAGAGAATATAAGCAATAATAGGAAGGAACAAGGGTTTTTGCTGGTTGAGATAAGGATAGCTATACAGGGCATTGACTCACATTGATTTCCTGTGCGTGTGTGTTACCTTCTAGGTTAATTCTTTTTGATCTAACCTTTTCTCTAGTTCCTGTCCCCTTTTCCTATTGGCCTCAGTTGCTTTAAGGTATCTGCTTTAGTTTCTCTGTGTTGAGGGCAACAAATGCTAGCTAGTTTTTTAGGTGTCTTACCTATCCTCACCCCTCCCTTGTGTGCTCTCGCTTTTATCATGTGCTCAAGTCCAATCCCCTTGTTGTGTTTGCCCTTGATCTAATGTCCACATATGAGGGAGAACATACGATTTTTGGTCTTTTGGGCCAGGCTAACCTCACTCAGAATGATGTTCTCCAATTCCATCCATTTACCAGCGAATGATAACATTTCGTTCTTCTTCATGGCTGCATAAAATTCCATTGTGTATAGATACCACATTTTCTTAATCCATTCGTCAGTGGTGGGGCATCTTGGCTGTTTCCATAACTTGGCTATTGTGAATAGTGCCGCAATAAACACGGGTGTGCAGGTGCCTCTGGAGTAACCTGTGTCACAGTCTTTTGGGTAGATCCCCA